GTGCCAGCTTGTATCTTCAACTCTTTATGTATGTTTGACTTTGATTTGACAATCTTGTGCAGTTCATTTATCAATTTTCTACAAGGGTTCTACTTTATAATTTACAACGTGTTTTTAGATGCACTGATTGTACCAACAGAAAATACAAATCGAGTTTTTGAGAGAACGGAGTACCCGATTTGAATGATCTAAAAAAACAATCAATTTGTAATGATTGGGAGAACAGGTGATTAGTTAGATTAGTACAGACTAAATGTTGCAAAAATATCAATTTTGAGAGAGCTAAGCGTCCGATTTGAATGATTCAAAGAACTTTCTGTTTGTTTTAACAAAATAATTGCTTTTGAAAAAAAAAATTGTTTCAATTTTTTTTCCAAAAAAATTTTTTTTTGTATATCAAAAATAATTCAAATTTTAATTTTAATTCTAACTAAAGTTCTAATATACTTTAAACAAATAATTTCAATTTTGCAATTCAATTTATATAATTCTTATGAATATTAGACAATGTTACAGTATTCATAAAAATCTATTTGAAAACACTTAATATTCCTCGAACATTTCGTTACTGTACGGGAAGTTTCAGCAATTTGCCTTAAGACACGATGCCCACATAAATAAAAGAAGAGCCTGATTGCCGATACGATAAACAGCGCTATTGTGTGCGAAACTGAAACTTGATAAACATTCAAGTGAAACTTTATGCTTATTTATCTATGCTTGCATGGCTTATCTATGGTTTATCTGAATGAAACGTCAATTGTCTCGGAAAAAACCTCTCAAACATTTTTGACCGTTGACAGAAAATAATTTAGTGGATGGTGCAGCTGCATAGAATGATAATAAACACTTGATGTTAGGTTAATAATATTAATGTAATAAATATAAAAAAAGCGATAGATTTGATTAAATATTTTATGATATTGTAATCACAAAAAAACTAAGTTTCGTAGACTGGTCACGCCCACGTTTACCAAATAAGCTGCTAGAAAGCAATCTTTTGACTGTATGGTATGATTGTTGACATTATTAGACAAAATCATGGGTGCGTTATTCGGGAAACATAAAAAGACACCAAGTAGGATTACAGAACAAGATAAAGCAATTTTGCAATTGAAACAGCAGAGAGATAAATTAAAACAATTTCAAAAACGTATCGAGCTGTCTCTCGAGAAGGATAGGGAGCTAGCTAAAAAATGTTTATTAAATGGCAGGAAGGATAGGGCAAAATGTTACTAAGAAAAAAGAAATACCAAGAGCAGTTACTTAAAAACACTGATGCCCAATTAGAGAATTTAGAAAAAATGGCAATGGACATAGAATTTGCTCAAGTTGAAATACAAGTTATGGATGGTCTTAAACAAGGAAATTTAGCTTTGAAAAAGGTTCATGAAGTCCTCACTTTAGATGAAATTGAACAAATATTAGATGATACTAGGGAAGCCGTAGATAAGCAAAATGAAATAGACAGCCTCTTGACAGGTGTTTTAAGTCAAGAAGATGAAAATGCTGTTGAAGAAGAGCTTAATATGTTAATGGAGTTAGAAGAATTGGATGAGAATGTAGAAGTTGATATTAACCTACCAGATGTACCATCAGAAGAGTGCCTCAACACAAAGAGAAGGCGCCCGAGCGAGAAACAAAGAATTGCAGTTGCGCTAGAATCATAAAATTCTATATTTTAAACTAGTTGCAAAGAAGAGATTTGAAGATACCTTGTATTAAATATGTACATATGTATATAAAACACACATGTAAATTTGCACAAAACTCACATGTAAATTTTAAACAAAGCCTATGAATTTGAAGTTATATGCTTTAATTGTTATCTATATTATGTATATTGCACATCCATACTTAATATTAATTTTATCTGTAACTCGCCAGTGATAATTTGATTGCAAGCTTGAATGCAAAAGAAATAAATTTTTCTATGTATTTCACTTTTAATTTTAACTTATTACACACTATTTTATACAATTACTCTTGTACTTGATTTGATAATATGTTAATGGTTCTTCATTCACAACCATTATATAACAAATAATATAAAATAAATTTGTGATTCACATTACATATACATCAAAGATTCTTTTCTAATTCAACCTGTTGAATATAATTGTTAATTATGAGAACACAACACTCAGATTTTCCACTTTATTTATAATTTTTAATGTTTTGAAATTACACTGAAGATGAGCCATACCAAGGCCTCGAAACGTCTGTAATTATTAAATAAAGTGTGTGCAAATATGTGAGTGTTGTGTTGTTCATAATTAACATTTAATATTCATTCCACTCATATCACAAAATTCTATATATATATATTTATATATTATAGTCGGTCTTATCATACTCTGCTCCAGAGACGTGTTATATCCGATGACTACGACCACGTGTTTTCTTTTCAAATGTCATATTAAATATCCAATATTTGAACAAAATTTCATTTTGTTTTACCATATTTTAGGTGAAAGTAATTCCGATAGTATGGTACGTCATTGTATTTCTGTGTGTCATATTTCTATATATAATTACTTACTTATTTATTGCTCCAGTTAAAAATAAACATTTTTTTAACTTGGTGATTGATCCTATGACTCATTTATTTTGCAATGTTTTTAGTTCGTAAAAACGAAAATTTTAAAATCAATTTTATAAAAAAAGTTCAATTTTATAATTATTCATATAATTTTATAATTGTATATAATTGTTTTTATAAAATAAAAAAAATGTAAACGTATGTATATGTAAAAACAATACATTTTTTAAAAATATTTTTCAAAAAAAAAAAAAAAATACCTCACATTTCCCCCTCTTCTACTATTTCCATTTCAAGGATTAATTGTAATTATAAGAATTATTACTTTTACACAATATATAATATAATAATAAATGTTTTTTTTTATAATTTGTAAAAAAACAAAACAAATTAAATGCATTTGTGTAATAAAATTAAATACTTATTGGTAATATTATTATGTAACCTTTAAAATCATAAAGTTGTCAGTGAGACAAAAAAGCGACCTCTTCTTTCGACACAAATTTTTCTTTGCATTCGTAAAAAACCACAAGAAAATGTCTATACGCGTTACAAGATCTAAGTCCAGATTAGAGAAGTCGGATATGATAAATTCTTGAATAGAGCTCCGCTCAGATTGTATATCCGTATAATATATATATATATATATATATATATATATCTTGTAAATCAATGACAATAGAATGCAATGGCAAAGATAACATATATTCTTATTATTTTCTTATAATGTCTATAAAATGCATCATGTAAGTAACAATATATAAATTATCAATAAGAAATTAATTAACAATGGAAAGTCATGAAGTGAAATTTTAACAATAAATTAATTTGTACAACCTACATGATTATTACATATATTTTTTTGGTACTTTTTGTACTATCTAAAAATACTTTATTACAGTTGATTTATTTTATTCAAACGCATCACTTCTGATGCCAATGTATCAACATTTTCCTGAAACAAAATTTAATTAAATCGAGAAATAAATAGCTGAAACTATGAAATGCTATACTTACTTTCAAAGCTACATTTTTTAGTAGTGTATCTTCTAGCAGAGCTTGCAAGTTTTTGTTCATAATTTGAGACATTTCAAGAGTTATTTCAGAATCTTCTTTTGGAAACTCAGACTTTGATAATACTGACATATCAGACTAAAAGAAAAAGTAATGCTTTCAAAAATTTTTACTAACAATAAGTATAACTTATTAAGTGTAACTTATTGTTAGACTGCATTAAACATATGTTGATTATATTAAATGCAACTTTGGATATACATTACTTTTTATGTAGTTTTCAAAATAAAATATCATAAGCTATGTTTTACTTACTTTGGAATAATTAGTTCTTAATAATAAATTCTGCATGACACGTGTTTTATTTTGAATTTCTGCAACAAGAGCTTTACAATGTTCTTCCAAGAAATCTAGTTTTTCAGCTTGTTTTGCTTTGATTTTCTGCAATTTCAGAATTCTTTCCAAAAGTATTTCTATATCTTGATTATTAGTCTGCAACAATAACTAATCATTATTTGATATATAAAATTTTCAAGCTATAACACCAAAAAAATTTACTTGTGGTGTTATTGTAGTTTCAATTGAACTCAGTGAAGAGTTTGAGCCTTTGTTAACTCCTTTTTCTACCTGATTTTTTTTGACTTGCTGTAATTCTCTATTCAATTCCTGTGAAGGGCAAAGTATACAATTAAAATTTAAATACCAAAAATACTGTGGCTACAATAGCATATTATTTTTCTAATACATATAATGACTCCAAAACCACACCCTATGTCGAATCGCTCGTATCTCAAAACCAAGATTTTGAATTTTAAAATTTACGTATATGGTTCAAACACATGTCCTCGACATTCTCGATAGTATGGAATAACCGATTTGTATGATCGCGAGGCGTTTTTGCAAAAGGCAATTTTGCAGTTTGAAAATTATTAAAAAAAATCAAAGTTTCAAAAAAAAGTCAAATTTTCGAAATTTTTCATCATTTTCAAAAAAAAAACTAAATTTTGAAAAACTTAAACAAAATTAAAAAAAAAATCTTACAAAAATTTGAGCATATTTCAAAATTTTCAAATAAATCAAGTATTTTCAAAAATTTCCAAATTCTCAAAGAATTTAAAAAAAAAACGGTTTATTTAAAAAAGTTGAATGAACAAATATTGAATATTTTCATTTGTCGAATGTTTAATTACGGTCTGGCAATTTGCCTTAAGGCACAATAACACCCACTAGATAATATAATTATCATTCATGATATTGTGGTGATGAGTAACATTCTTCTTTAAGCTATTCTGATGCTCGAACTGTTGCAACTTCTTAGGCGTAATTTTTATCCATAAACTTTTTTTTTAATAAGTAAATAGTTGCCCTTGTAGTATACAATGTCCCTTTTCGGCCGACTATTGTATTGTATTCATGGGCCCAACATGCCCTTGTAGTATACAATATCCCTTTTCGGCCGACTATTGTAAATTCATCAAATTTATTGAATGTCCTTTACTGGACAGTTGTAAATAAAAGAGATAATAAAAAAAATAAAAAAACATTTAGAGCTACGAAAGCTGCTTATAAATAATTGTAAGGAGCTCAGTTGAAGATATACCCCTTATCAACTTTAATTCAAGTGGCAAGGCCCTTTTTTGGACTCATGGTTATAAAAGTAAATATTTTGTAGATGTACAAAAAGCCTCAAAAATTATTTATGTAGGTTGATTGTTACTAGACAATTATTATTTTCATATAAATGAAATGGCTGACTATAAAATAATTTACTATTATAAAAAAATATTTCTATGACAGGAAGATCATTGTTACAACTAACTTAATATTTTTCTAGAAACTCTTACTCGCCCAATGCTATCTCAAAACACACCTATGTCAGGTCACTCGAAAGTCAGAGTACCTACTTTCTTTATACTTGTTATAATGGGGGTACCGCAGTATGTAATTTACTTGAATTCCCTGATTGATTGAAAAAACATAAATGACTGAATTTTGCATAAGTATAAAAATATAAATCAACCTTTACTACTGCGGAATGTTTTCTCTTCAGAACTTGCACCTCGCCCTGAGATTCGGCTAATTTGAGTTGTATCTTTTCTAATGATTCAGTTTTACTCGCCAGATGTCTGACTAGAACATCACGCTCATTTTTATATTTAGTTTGCTCGCTAAGCAGATCTTTTTGCAGAGCTGTCATCTTCTGTGTTTGTTCATTTAATGCTAATTTCAACATATCTTTCTCAGTGCAATGACCTAATACCTAAATAAAAAATAATGGATCAAATTACAATCACAATGCAAACTTTCTAGTTTATATATATATATATATATATATATATTTATATATATATATATATATATATATATATATTTATATATATATATATATATATATAAATTTTAACTTTATACGTAATTTGAATTTTATGAATCAATCAATTCAATTTTGTGCTTTAGAAAAATTTTAGTACTACATATAAAACATTATATATTAATTATTTAAATAATTTTATTTTATTTTTTTAATTATTATTTGGTATTTTATAAAATACAAAAATAAACCAGCTGTAAGTGGCATTGAAACGATTATAGTGCCCCTATACAAACTGTTATGTTATAACAGCGCGGCTCATTATTCCAAACTTTTATAATTTATAATAATAATTTTTATAATTCAACCACTTTACGTAGGTGAGTATTTTGGGGTGTGTGTTTAGACCATAAACTATTATCTCCGTTATAAATTTCATTAAAAAATCGAAAAAAAAAATGTTTTTCAACATTTAATTAAGAAGTAACGACCCGATCGACATATACTAAGCAGCTGTCTTCCCAAATGATATCTTTAGACTAGTTTTTGAATTTCTAAAATCGGTTCTGATATTTTTACGAGAACGTGAACAAAAAAGTTTGCACTACCTTGGTTATTCTAAAAAAATAGACTCGGTCGATCGTCTCTAAATCAAACAAAAATGTATACCCGTATAAAGGCATCTTTCAGCTATATTTTTAAAATAATTACAAGTAAAAATATTTAATATAGAAAAAGTAACAGCCGATCTGCGGGAGGAAAAATCTTCGGTTAATCACTAGAAAATATATTTAAGAAGATCCTGTCAAAATGTAAGGCTAATCGGATTAGCTGTTTTCTAATTATATTGGTCACCGATTTTGAAAACACCATTTCGAGAAAAACGCGTTTAAAGTTTGAAAAGCAATTGCATGGTATAAAAAAACTGTTTTTTCATTTTCCATGGTGTCACCTATTGCAGGGCCATATGAAGGAGCCTCCACCGATTCGCAAACTTCTAATAACTCGAGCTGGTGTTGTCTGCGAGCCATTCTTTCATCTCGGGTGCTCTCTAAAATTATCTCGCGCTGTTTATCTTCTTTTTGGGCATTTGAATGCGTATTGAGCCCAAATTGTAATTTATATTGCCTTCATATAATTCAGTAGTGATTCCATTATTTCATTAAATATGCCGTTGGTTATGTATGCAGCGTTTTTCACAGTTTTCGAACCGGTCGAAAAAAATTTCACATTTTACATATTCAGAAATTGATTTAAACACTGTTATAAAATTTAGAATACTAATTCGACTAAACAGTCAAAAATGTTTGTGAATTGTTGTCAAAAATTACATGTAAATAAGTCTTCCTGTTATTTTTTATATATTTTTGCTGGATCACTAACTACTTTCTTCGGTCTCAGCCGTGTTTTCCTTTTCAAATTTGCGTGTAACTTGCGAAAATATTCACCAGAATGATATGAAATTTTTTGTGTGTATTCTCAAATATATTTACATTGAGAAAAATAAATAAAAAAAATAAATTTTTAGAAAATCCTAAGTGTATATAACCCCTTAAAGTAATTAAAAGTTTGAACATTTTTTTTTTGAAATGGCTTTTAAATTTTTGAAATCGGTTCAACCGTTTTTGATGCTACATCGACAAAAGGTCAAAATCGGCTCACTTACATACACACACATACTTTTACCAAGTATAATCTCAAACGATTAAGAATGACTTGAAACATCGTGAAAATATAAAATTAGCAATTTGGAATTTTTTATGAAAACAAACTTTTCTTCTAGGATGTTAACAATGTAAAATCAATTCAATTAAAATTATTACATTTATAAAATACAAAATCAAATATCCAATCTGCAAAATGTAGAGATAAAAAAAAATTTCTTACCATAGCCTCTAAAGATGAAAATTTTGATTGAAGTGCAACATTTTTTTCTGTTACTGATTTTGTAAATTGTAACATTTCATCTTCTTTCTTACGACTTTCTGCTAATTCAGTTGTTAATTCTTCATATAGCGTTTTAAACTTTTCAATTTCTTGTTCATTATTCAAGATAGTAGTCTGCGCTCTAAAGAAATTTAAGAATTGATTTTTAGTATTGAATTTGAAACACAAGGAATATATATATTTGTATTACTTACTCAAATATTTGCTTATGTGCAATTTCTAACTCTTTGCTTCTAGTTTCTTGATAATTAAGTTCCTTTTGTTCTATTTCTAATTCCAATTCAGTAATCTGTTTCAATGAAAAAAATGTGGTTAGTAAAAAAAAAAATCAGATTTATATTTTCCAACTTACTCTTTGAGTTAGTTCAGCAATACTCTTTTTAGCATTTTCATTATCAGAAGTAACTTGAGCAAGTTGTGATTGCAATTCATTGCATTTACTATTGAGATCATTATTTTTGTGTCTTTCTAAAATTAATTGAGCCTGAGATTCTGTTAGAAGTTTTCCTATAAAAATTTGTGCAAAAATTAGTTCTTGAAACAACAAATATTAAATATTCGTTATAATTAATATTATAAATTATTCTCAGTTGTTCACTACTGACCTACTGAGACTAATTTTTGTGAGTCTTGAGAAGCTTGTTCATTACTTTGTATATTTTCCTGTAGTTTATCTAACTGGGCACGTAATTGGCCACAATTTTTTTCGACAGCCTGCATAAAAAAATAATATCAAGTTAATTAATAATAGTAATATAACAATAAATACATAAAACATGATTAATTAATTTGATCTTTAAACTTACTACTCGAGATTCGACTTCTTGTTTATAGCTATTTAATGCAGCTTTTAATTTATTCTGTAAAATTCCACATTCTAATTTAATTTGTTCCTTTTCCTTGTTTGCATTTAGTAACTCATGTGTCTGGAAAATAAGATATTTAAATATTTAATCCACAACTTGAATAAATTCTTTAATAATTTTCTTGTTTTTTTCTTCAACATTTTATTTTTTCAAGGTATAATTTTTTTCTGTTATTTTATTTTCATATGATTTGTTTCTTGTATAAATTTTTCTATGCCCAATTATTTCTGTATAAATGTTTCAATATTAAATATTTTATATTGAATTTACATACATAATATTCAGCATTCTAAATTATTCAGTTTTCTTATGTACAGTGGTATCCCGACACACAAGTTTAATTTGTTCTGTAACTAAGCTCATATGTCGATTCGTTCATATCTCAAAATAATTTTTCCCATAGAAAAACATTAAAATGCCATTAATTCGTTCCATTACTGTATTTATTGTTAAGTTTTTTTAATTATTAAATATAAATTTACTATTTACTGTTATAATTATTGTTTCTTCCTTTCCATTCAAAATGAGTTGGTCTCATACTCAAACTGTTTCAACTTTTTTGACATTTTTATCCACAATCTTTTAGAGCTTAGAAAACTGCTTATAAATTATTGTAAGGCCATCAGCTGGAATTCTATCCTTTATCAACCATGAGGAAGTGTTACGCTCGTACATTCTCATCATCCTCATATTTAAGTTCATGAAGGAGAAGTTTGTTTTCATCAAAAAAATCGATTCGCTATTTTTATTTTTTCTCGACGTTTTAAGCCAATCTGAATCGAATGAGACCAAATTTGTGAAAAATATGTGTGTATGTGAACAGATTTTTTGCCGTAAATCGACGTTTTCTCAAAAACGGCTGGACCGATTTTAAAAATTTAAAAGCCATTCGATGTATCTCGATGAGGACTATCGAGTTTTGCACTACGATCGGTTGAGCCGTTTCTTTGTAAATCGCAGAAAAGTGAAAGATTTTTCATCCACCGAGCCGTTTTCTTGTAATTAACTGTTGAAAAAAGAAAAATTTAAGCCGATTTTTATGGAACTTTTTTGGCGATATATATCATGGTCTTATAGAACTTACTGAAATATTACGGCCTTACGACAAGTAGTTTAATTTAAAAAATATATCAAAGCTTGAGAAAATGAGTAGTTTTTTTGACGTTTGTTAAAATTAAAATTAGATTTACTTGGTATAATGATAGAGTACCTGATCTTAATAAACATACTAAACCATTAAAGTCCTACGAAAACTGGTTCAATTATAAAAATTGTTGATTTTTGAAAATTCGCATTCAGAAAATACTTCGAGTTAACGGCTTCATTCGTTTTCAATTATGTGTAACAAATCCACTCGTAATACTTTTAATCACTCATGAATTAATTTATTTTTTATTCATTAAGTCGATTATTTACACATATCGAGAAGTTCATGTAACTTACCTCAAAGCAAAATATTAATACCAACTAGTTTCCAATAATTTCATACTTTAATTCAAAAGACATGATCATTTTTTTGTTTGGACCCACGGTTATAAAAGTAAATATTTTGTAAATGTACAAAAACGAGAACTCAACATATATAACTATACAATAAAAATTGATATATTGGCATGGGTAAGTCGCTACTACACAATTAATATTTGTACATAATTTAAATGAATGACAATAAAAAAAATTGGTATCATAAAACAGTCAAATTATTTCTGTGGCAGGAAAATCATTACTAATCTTTGTTACAACTGACAAAATTTTTCATATTTTCATATTGTCATTAACATTTTTCAAAAAAACTCTTACTTGCTCAAAGCCCGTGTCTCAAATTTTGCTCATATGTGGAAACAACGAATCACTACTTTGGCGGCTCGTATTTCAAAACACTCGTATGTCAGGCCGCTTGTAAGTCGGGGTACCACTGTAAATCTAAATTACAATCCAGCGCATACCTTTGCATCTAACAATGAACAAATTCGAGTCTTTTCATTATAAGTCCGTTTCAATTTCGATTCTAGTATTTCATTTTCCTTCTTTAACTTGTCAATATCTATATTTGATTTTTCACTAACTGCAAATCTAACTACGGCTTCTTCCTTTTCTTTGATAGCTTTCTCTAGTCGTTTCCGCAACTAAAAATAATGCATTAAGTATCAGAAAAATGTTAATTCACAAATCGAAATAACCTAACAATTAAATTGCAAATATATAATATAAAAATATAAAATTAAATTATCAAGTCCCGTACATTTGAAATTTTGATATCCATTTCATATTGTTGCTCCTTAAACAGAGCTTCTGCAATAACTGAATCATCCTTTAATTTTTTAATCTCTTTCTTTTGAGTATCCAATTCACTTTCTAACTTCTGGCAATTTTGTATGCATATTGTATGTAAATTCTCGTCTGGTACATCTTCCTTTTCGCCATTTGCAGATTCAATTGATGTACCTTTCTCTAGACATATGTAAAATTATTAGTTTGTTAATAATTGTATGTTTAAAAATTTATGATAATAAAACTTGTAACATGATAAGTTTCACAAATAAAAGTATTTGTTTATTAGTAATAATAAATATCACTTATTAAAATTATTCAGCATCTGATATAACTTGTTAAGCATATATGACTATATAAAACACATATTTAAATTATTAAGAAAAATCTATACAACTATAACTTGTAAACAATGTTTTAACAATATAAATCAACCAAAAAATCCTTTTTGATCAAAATAACAAATTTGATAAGAATAAAAAACAAATAAAAATGGTTTTGCATACAGACTAAATAAATTTAGATTGAACATAATCTAAACAAAGAACTTCGAATGATAATTGAAATAATATTTTAATTAATTCTAAATTATGCTCACTTTTTTTATTACTAAGTAATTGACTTCTGAAACAAGTAAATCTATTATAATAGAAAATAGATATCACTATTGCTTGACACCAGGTTGTTCAAAACGTGGAATTAAACCTACGATTTTGTGGTTGAACGACTAGAACTCTGCAAATTTTGCCACTAATTTTCCATTTAAAATTACTAACCATTTTTTGGGTTGATTATTATAATAGAAAGATAGTTGTTATAATATTTGTCTATATAGTTTAAGAAAATATATGTGTAAACTACATTTTTAGATGTAAAATTCAATTATTATTCAATTCAGAAATTCAGAAGTTCCTTCAGTTCTAGAGTAATGTTTGAGATAATTACAGTAAGTACTAAAATTAAGAAATACGAATTGATAGAGTATGCTAGTAAAGTAAGATTAATTTATAAGTTTTTTTTTTTTTTAATTAGGATTTCAGAAACACCTGTTTATTTCGATGATGTGCATACTAACCAAACATTAAGTTACGTAATAACAGAACTTTGGAAATACCTTCAGTTAAAACCAAATTTGTTTCACGCGCACTCATGTTCAAAATATCAAAAATAATAAATGAATTTGCTTCTGAGATTGATATCTTTGGCCTGTCGGTGACAAATATGAAAAATCAAGCCAGAAAAATTATCCTTAAATGACTGACTTAAGTAGTGATTTATAGTTAATTAAATGTTTAATTTTATTAGTTTTTATTTGATGTTATATATTTGTAGTTATGTATAGTTATATAATATTAAGTGTTATGTATATATCTAATATGTATATATCAAAGCTATCTATGAACTCTTAATACTCAATTTATCTCACATATTATCTTTAGTTTATAATTTGTACTCTTTAAAATGTAATTATATTGTATTATTGCCTTGGGCGTTGAATAAATAAATAAATAAATAATTAAATAAATAGATAAATTATTGTTGTATTATCAATTAATTGAATATAATTAAATTGTGTGCAGCGGTTACGGAATTATGTCAGGAGCCCATTTTTAACACAAAATCAAAGACAAACTCAAGGTTTGTCTTTAGGAAAAGCACCGACAATTTCTACAAATGAAAGTCTACAATGTAATACGATGTTCTAAATTTCTTACAATTAAATTATCCATTTTTAACAAATCTTTTACATTTTTCACTTTGATGTAATATAGTACATTTACCTTATGTACTTAATTTATTTTATTAACATTTGATATAATTGAAGAAATAATTGTTAAATGACATGATAAAACTACTAAATATTGACAAGGAAGTTTTTATTCATGGTATCTGTTAATTTTTTTTATTAAATATTTAAGAATTTTTTTCGGGATTCTCTCTAATTTTCAGTATTAAACATTTAATATGTAATTAGAATATAATAATATACTTATTAAATAGATAATATTATTTTTTAAAATACTACAGAAAAGGCGCTAGTTATAATCGTATGTGGATATTCGATTTTTTAAACCAAAAGTTTTATGTATTGATCTTTACTTAAACATAAAATGATTCATGATACCTGCATTTTCGTTGTTAATATTTACGGAATGTATTTCAAGCTTCTCCAAACCATTTTCCGACTTAATCAAATCATGTTTGAATGAAGTAGAATTTGTATTTTCAGGAACAGATTGCAATTCCATTGCGGATACAAATGTTACGCAGATTTATTCGCTAAACTTTGATCTTATTCTAATACTAACAGATAAATGTATTTATAATCCATTTTCGAATTTTCACAACAAATACTGATAAAATAAAAATATGAATTTATAAAACATATAAATATGAATAATACATTCCTACGACATCGTCAACAATAACGAACAACTGTCACTGTCACTTGTGCTATGTGACACTTTGTCGTTGACACACAAAAGCAGAGATGTCAGGTCAGTGCAGACGTAGAAAATAGAAGCACTGGCGCCCCTGACGGTAGTTTTGTGCAAATAATGGCGCCAAAAAACGAAAAACTAGTAGCGCGCATGGCATCGTGCCTTAAGGCAAATTGCTGGAACTTTCCGTACCAAAAATTATTATTTTTTTAGAAAAGATTTACATTTAAAAAAAAATACTTTGAAAAAAATAGATTTTTGAGAAACTATAAATTTTTGACAAAAATTTACTTTATAGAATAAATAACTTTCTTTCTTTATTTTGAAATATTTTGGAAATTCAGATCTTTTTTTTAAAGCAATCATACTGCTTTAACTGCATAGAGACGAAATATCGGAGCGATAAACATTAATGTTTATCGCTTCGATATTTCCGTACCAATTGGTACGGAACTCATAGAAATGTGAACAAAATTTATTCTTATTATTAAAATCTGTATGAAATATCTGAGAATTTGATGTGCATATGTCTAATGATCATTTTTGACTGCCAAATGGCGTTTTTTTTTAACTTTTTTTAGAGGATCTTTTTATCGAAATCGCTAGAATTGCCTTCAATACAAGTAAAATGTTATTTGAATTATTAAAATTAAGCGCTCCGTTCTCTTAAAAACTGGGTTACCGTTTGCGGCACTTTTTGCTCCGTATCTTCAAAACGGCTAGACCTGCCTTCACCAAAAACTAATCAGCACGACCCATTATCAATACAAATGGAATGTTTTTTGAATTATTCAAATCGGTTGATCGGTGTTCCCGAAATCGTCGACGAAATTTTGTATCCGCACGCACACACACACACACATGCACACATAAACACATACATCCATTTATTCTAAGGTATGCCAAAATGTTGAAAAACCTTTGAAACGTAAAGATATATAAAAAAAATCATTTTCGATTTTTTTGCAATTACTATAACTCCCTATGGGAAGTTAAAAACACGTGCTTTTCACAAGCTTGGGACAAATTATAGAAAATAAAAATAGCAAACATTGCTTCAAAGTGGGAGCTCATATCACTTTGGTTGAATAACATTTTCCAATGAAGGCCAGAAGCACATTTAGCCAGTAAATACCAAAGAAACCTTATAAATTTGCATAAAATTCTGGCTGACATTTGATATAGAGACAAAATATGTGGTAAATTGTTGCCCGTATTTAGGGAAAGACGATGCATCAACTCCTCTAAGCGAATTTGTAGTAATAAAACTTCTCGAATCAAATACCATGAAAGGTACAAATGCAATAACCGATTTTTTTTAACTTCTCGTAGGGCAACTTATGGTAATCGCAAAAAAATCGAAAATGAAAATTTTTATATAACTTTACTTTTCAAAGGTTTCTGAGTATTTTGGCATACCTTGTTAGAAAAAAATGGATGTATGTGTGTGTTTGTGCAGATACAAATTTTCGTCGACGATTTCGGGAACACCGATCAACCAATTCGAATAATTCAAAAAACATTCGATTAGTATTGATAAGGAGACGTGCTGATTAGTTTTTGGCGAAGGTAGACCTATTCCGAAGATACGGGGCAAAAAGTGCCAAAAATGGTAACTCAGTTTTTAAAAGAACGGAGCGTCCGATTTTAATAATTCAAAAAACATTTTACTTGCATTGACAAGATGAAAAATTGATCAAATTTTTATGAAGGCAGATCTAGCGGTTTCGGAAATCTAATGAAGAAAGTAAAGAAAATGCCATTTGGCGGTTAAAAATGATCATTAGACATATGCACACCAAATTATCAGATATTTTATAGAGATTTTAACAATAAGTATAAATTTTATTTACGTTCCTATGGGTTCCGTACCAATGTTCATCCGTTAGACGGCGACGCGGCGTTTACGCGCTTTGACATTTCGTCTCTATGCAGTTAAAGCAGTACGATTGCTTCGAAAAAAAGTTCAGAATTTCCAAAATATGTCAAAATAAAGAAAACATTTTTTTTTCAATAATTTTTTTTTTCAAAAAAAGTAATTTTTTGTCAAAAATAGTCAAAAATCTAATTTTTTCGAAGTAAAATTGTTTCAAAAATGTTAATCGTTTTTAAAAAAATAATAACTTTTGGTACGGGAAGTTCCAGCGTTAAGGCACGATGCCATGTGCCCCTCTAGTTTTACAATTATTCATATGGCATTGAAATTAAAACCTAAAAACACCGCGTTAGGTGTAACTTTATGCGCAAACAAGTGGGAGCTGCCGGACCCTTTTATTGAGTATTGGACTAAAAAACTATGTAAACTATTAAAAATTAATTTATTTTATTATTTGACAATATCTATAAGTTTATTTAACTGCTGTCATTAGTTTTGTTCAACTTAAAGTCACAAAGCATGATTTCTAGAGACCAGTACCAGTCATTTTGGCTGGCATTGGTAAAAATAGGTATATTCAAATGGCTGGTATATCTAGTGTTAATGAATAACTATAATAAAAAGATATTAAGTAAAGTAAAAAGAAGTCATTTATTAACTTCTCGTAGGGTAATCGCAAAAATATTGAAAATGAAAATTATAAAAAGTTTTATGTACCTACACGTTTTAAAAATCAAATTTTTCAAAAATGTCAAAACTCAAAAATCTATTTTATTTTTCAAAGTTTAAGGGGGAGCCTGCTTTAGAGGCTTGAAAAAGGCGATTTTTTTACAAAAATGTCTTTCAAAACTGGCCAAGAATATATTCCTATAATTTAAGAAACAAATTCAAATTAATTTCGGAATTACAGAAGAAAAAGTGAGCAAGCGTCAAGCATGCACAGTTAACCCTCCGTTAACGCGGCAAGTGGTACCGTGCAGTATGGGAACCGTTATATAAAAAACTCGTATTTAAAATACAATTCAGGCTAATTCGCAGTGCGTTTAATGGAAACTTATATAATTTATGGGAATCGTGCTATGAGAGACTCAGGGTTAGTACAAATCGCCCCATTTTTATCTAATTTTATCGTGGTGTATGGAGACCAAGGAATACAACTTGAAGTAGGAGTAATACGAACAAAATAAAATGTAATGACATAGACACCTTATTCAAAAATTGGCGTGACGCAGAAGTCAGCTATTATATAATCAGGCATGTCTAAAAGATAAAAGTCGATAACAAAACTTACCTTAAAACCTATCAAGTTTCCTTTTGATATCAAGTTCCTAGAATCACTCATAGGTTGCTCAAGAAACTTATGGGCTGTTGTACAAAAGCCGTGTAATAGGAAGTCCGTGTAGTCGTGGAGATGTCGGATTTTTAGCTCCGCGTAGTATGGGAACCGTGTACCCAGAGTGCCGTGTTAACAGAGGGTTGACTATGAGAAGAACTAAAACTTCGCCGCGCGATTTCTCGATTTTTAATTTTTTCGATTCTTCCTAATTGGCACTCTTCCTAATTGAGAAAAAAACTAAACGTCCTATCGAAACGAGACAAAATTCGTTGTATTCAGAATTAAATTCTATTTTAGTTGAACCTAAAAAAAACTTAAAAAGTTATAATTAACCCACTTTTTAAACAATCTAATGTGAAATTTTGTATCAAAGAACATGATTTTTTTTTCAAGCGAAAAATGAGTGAATTTCTCTTTTTTTCTGGATTTTTCAGGTTCAACTAGAATCTATATTTTTGGAAATATTATATAAATTTGTCTTGATTTTTTGTTTCGAATGGAAATTGTGACCTGCATCTTTCCCGGCAAATGACATTTGCACGCTCGTGGCGCATCGGCAAAATGCTTGTACCCGGCATATTATGACATATATTTTAATGAAAAAAATGAGAAGAATGTTGAAATATATAAGAATAAAACCTGAAAGTTTCGTTACAATTAAATATTTAGTTCCTTTCCTAAAAATTTCTCAAAAAAGCGATTTTTGAAGCCTTTAAAGCAGTCCCCCGCTTAAGAAAAATTTTAAAGCTTTTATAAAAATTTTTGGCACGGAAAGTTCCAGCAATTTGCCTTAAGGCACGATGCCATGCACCACTAGTTTTGCAATAGATGGTCTTAATTATCTGTATCTCAAGTTGTATAATTCCAATTGAGTAAGCGGCGCTAGGAAGATGAGATTTAATACTGAAAAAATATTTTTGCCAGTTTTGTAAATGATTGATTTAGTTTTGTTTGAGCGCGCGTCAAAAATGAACACTAGCAAAGGGAAAATACGCTCTATTTTATACTTTCTATTTGATAAAGGCAAAAACGCAAGCTAGGCGACCGAAAATATGAACAGTGTTTACGGTCCTGATACTATAACAGTCAATTATGCGCAATTTTGATGTCGTCGGTTCATTCGGATAATTTCGATATCAAAGACGCATCCGCACTCAAATTGTCGAAAACGTCGACAAAATAATATAGTCCCACAATCATGTAAGTCGATTTTAATGGCCATAGAGTTAAAGACTGCACACAAAACCGTTTGGCACCATTTGAATAAGGCTCGATGTTATGGGTGTCACACGAAAATCTACTGTTAAATACTCTCACTGTTAAATCACAAGAAAATCGTTTCATTTTTTAAGCGGTTGGTGACTGGTGATAAAAAGTGGATCAATTACAAGAAAAGCGAAAACTATTCCAATCGAATCGCGGCAAGTCGGTGGAAACGGTGGCTTATCTAGGATTGGCATTTGATGGAATTGGCAGGTAATTATTCACAATGATGCTGCTCTAACAAGGAAAACTTTTAACTAAATAATTTACGATCAACAATTGAACGTTCTGAGAATAATAATTGGCCAGAAACGGCCAGCTTTGGCGCAGAAGAGAGGAATTGTGTTTCATCAGGACAACGCCAGACCACACACATCGATGGTGACCTGCCAGTAGCTCCAAGAGCTTGGTTGAAAGGTTCCTATGCATCTATATTATAGTTCGGACCTGGCACCAAGCTATTACTATCTATTCCTTCAATT